CTGCGTCTGGCGCAGGGAGACATCGTCGAAGGTAACGTTCAACACGGGCAGGGCAAAGCAGGTAGATGACAGCCGCACGAGGTCGTACAACAAAGATATAAAAAGTGAAATAAGACGGAGTTCGACAGACCTAAGTAGCCAGTACTTACTATACGGTGTAAAAATATGAACTAATAAATTTAGGTAACATGAAAATAGAAACATGGATACGTAACTTTATACGAATGAAAATTATCAAAGACTGTTGTATCGAACGTAATTTTTTATACTAACAATACAACGCTTAACTGAACATTACAACATTATCATGTAACACAGCATATGTTCAAAAGTTGGAAGGAGTATTATAAATAATTTCATTTTTATTTATATAACTTAACTGATAATCCTCCCAAAACTTCTGCACGTAACAAAGTGATTATTATTGTTAACTGCATAAGTTATCATTTAATGCTAATATAATGTGACTAACTTTTTATAAAGAGAATTAATTATTACATTGGGTAAGTACCTTAATTGCAGAAATGTGACAAAGTAATGCTTTTTTTAAATAACGGTTAATTCAAAGATACTGTAAACATTTTTTGTTAATTTCGTATTTTTATACTATTTGTGTTGCCTAATAACCTAGTTAATAGTGTAAATAAACCCTCCTCAGTAACGGGGTCTACAGAGGAGGGCCTGCTGGAAGGCACTGTGCGGGGCTCGGGCGCGAGCGGCCTGTTCCCCGCGCACTGCGTGCAGGAGGTGCGCTTGCGTCAGAACACGGCGCACTTGCACCAGGTAACACATTCTTATACTACATTCAGTTTCTACCAGTTTTAGGAAACTACTTCAGAAAATCAATCAACAAACGCCTTCTAGGATCCATTTAGATTCAATTAAGACTAATGTATCCTGAATTAAAAGAAAATGTGATGTTAAATCAATATCTATACTAATAATATAAAAAGGAAAGAATTGCATTTTTGGATTTTTGTATGTATTGCAATAACTCAAAAACTACTTAACCGATTTTAAAAAAATCTTTAACCGTTTAAAAGCTACGATTTAATGAGTAACATAAGCATAGTCGTAACATAAACATATAGACATAGTCGCGAGCAACAGCTAGTATAAAGTAATTATCTATGGATTTTTTGGTTATACACATTAAAATAGATAAATGAACTTTGCAGGTGCTGTCGTCGGGGCCGGTGCACCACTCGCGGGTGTCAGGGCGCCGCGAGATGGCGCTCAGCAAGACGTACAGCGCCACCGCGCCACGGATAAAGAAAAAGTATGCTTGCTATTAAATAAGTGAAGGATAAAACTCGCTTTCGCGACCGACGGAGCAACTGAGATAACAATTTAACACTTTAATAATTTAGAATAGAACAAAAAACATATATCTTCACATAGAAGCTCACTTAAACCCACATTACATCGAATACGATAATGTTACTGAGAGTTTGATGATTAGTCAAACAACAATCTTGTCGTCTTACTACAGCCGTATTTTGATACAATGTTACACATTTCGTGAGTGAGTCACCTTAATGTTGTTATGCGGTGTTGTAAACATATCGTAAGTAGTTTACAAACACGAGAGACGCGCAGTATGCGCCCGCGCGCGCATTCGCGACCGATGTGTGTGGCGACGAGCTCGTTCCGTGGCTTCCTATACAACTGCGCGCAGCACTGCGCCCTCGGCACCACCACATGGCTCTGCACGAGGCCCGTGTACCGAAAGCGGTTAGTTTTAGCAGTTTCAAAATGATTAA